GCCTTGCTGAGGGCATATCTGGGTCTCTCAGGGGTCATCATGGATGCTCTTGAGCCCAGGACCCAGAGGATATCTAGCCTCTGTCTTTCCAGAGCCCCTGCCGTCCTCGGCTGCCCTCGGGGGCTGGGCCAGGGCTGGGTGGCCAGGTCTCCCACGAAGCTTTCAACAAGTTCCAGGCCTCTCCTCCTGTGTTTAGATCCCGCCCTTAGTCATATCCCTCCTCCGCATTGCTCAGAGCGAGTAGGAAGCTGGGGAGGAGAGGGCGTCCTAACCGGCCTTGTCCTTGCCCTGGCCAGGCCTGTCTGAAGGGTTTGGGACTGCCAACCACTGAGTCTGGGCGCCAGGTTTCTTCAGCAGGGTCAGAGCTGGTTTAGAAGCCTTGTGTGGTCCCCTCGTGGGCGAGCTGGGGGATCAGCCTGCCTGTCTCCCTCCAAGTCGCCTTCTTGGCTGGCAGACTGTCCCTTTTCCCTGGGTCATAGGGAGATGTGGGGCTTGGCCAGGGAAAGTGGTCTGGAACGGCCCTTTGACATCATCCCTGGGGGCTTTTAAAAATGAGTTTCCTGGTAAGGAAGACTCCTCTGGCCTTGGGCAGGATTCTCAGTAGAGTCTCCCGGGTTTGCTCTGATCTGACAAACGCCAGCAGAAACCACCCGGCTGCCTGCATTCCAGCAGTGCTTGGAGCCATGGCTTCCTCAGATGCAGCATCAGCAGAATGCAGCAGCCAAGGCATTGGAGTGTTTGCTCTAAAGCCAATGCTAAGCCCCAGGCGTGGAGAGCATGCAACAAACTCCCTGGTTGGCCATGCAAATTCACATGCACACATTCCTAGCTTCTCCAGGAATAGCTGGTACCACAAGTGACACCAGAGGAGCTTGTCTGAGTCATGACAGTCTAGGCCAGTGATGGCAATCCTGTTAGAGTTTTCAATGATGCAAATAGCCTGCTGCGGCATGTGTGCCATAGTTTCTCCACCATTGGTCTAGGCCTATGATTGACAGGTGGATGGTGAATATCCAGGTAGCCTGTAAGTCCGGCTCCTTTGTCCCTGGTGAATAGTTCTCCTAGGATTAATTATTGTTCAGGTAGCCATGTCCATATCTGAGAGGTCTGACTTAGGCTGAGGACAGTGGAAGAATATATCAAGAAGGTACAGAGTAGGGCAGGAGAGACCAGTGCTGGGGATGGATCAGATCTACCATGCCTGCACTTCACCCTGGCCCTTTTTACCCCAGTGTTGGGAATGTGGACAAGGCTCTAGTCCTGTCTGCTTTTTCATGGCTAAGTCTGTAAAATGGGCATGTCTGGGAGCTCCAGCACAAAAGTTGCTCCTGGTGTAAGACTGAGATCATTGCATGGTCTCTTTGCCTCCAGTTAGAGGGTCCTGGATATGGACTCCCACCTGACCAGTGCTGGATATTGGATGGAGAGTCACTGGGGTCTGGAGAGGGGAAAGGGTGCTTGGCAACAGAGAAGTTGCTAAGCTAGGGAGAGAAGCCATGTGGAGCAAAGGTGGAGGCTGGAGCAGAGGAAGTTTTATGCTGTGTTGCTGGAGAGCTGTCAATGGGAGGTGACAGCTTGCCCGGGGGAAGCCTCTCAGCAACACACGCCAGGCTGAGGTTAGGGTGTTCACAGATATCTGGGGATGCCTGCTGCTCTAGTGCTTTGGGAGGGAAGGATCAAGTGGCCAAGCTAGGTCTGGGACAGGACTTGCTGTCATAGGGAATAGTGCAACCACTAGCAGGAGGCCCCCACCCAGAAGAATGGGTTTTACTCTGGCTCCTCCATGTACATCTGGCCTGAGAAGGCTTGCAGCTGGCTGCAGTGGTTGTTGGATAAATGTACTGATTTGGTCTCAAACATTTCACCAGATAGCCCACCTAAGCCTTGGTTCCCAACTGCTGTCTTCTCTGAAGCCTCCCCTACTAGAGATTTTTGCATTTGCTGGCCTCTGATCAGAACCCTCTGCCCACATCAAAATACTTGTGCATAAAACAAAATCTAGTCAAGCATTAAATTTTCTCTTAAGTCTATTTCTAGAGGTAGAAATATAGTAATGTATTGCTATGGCAATAACCATTAATTACAGCTAAGAATTTTCCTTTAAATTCCAGTAGAAGTAGATAGGTGTAGTGCCACATGCCTGTAATTCTAGCAGTCAGGAGGCAGGAGGCAGGAGGTTCACCTTGACAAGTTCAAGACCAGTCTGAACTACATAGCAAGCCTCTGTTTCAAAAAAAACAAGAAAAACAAAACAAAAAGCAAGGGCTGCGTGGGGATATAGCTTAGCAGCACAAGTGCCTGCCTGGCAAGCACAAGGTCCTGAGTTCTGTTTCTGGTACCAAACAAACAAACCCACAAAACACCCCCTAACAAGAAAAGTGTCTCCAGAATACAGTCAGGAAGAGAGCACATGGAGGGAGTCACAAGAATGGACACTTTTCACCTGCATGTCTTAGCCCCTGTAGCTCCCAGGTCTGCAGGAGAAACGTACTGCTCTCACTCTCACTCTGCCATGCACATCTACTTTTCTCCCATGGCAACCCAAAAAGGGATAGAAGAGAGTGAGAGGCAGGGCAGGGAGAAGCCACTAGTTCAAATCTAAGCTGGGTATGATAGAATATACCTATAATTCTGGACCTTAGGAGACTAAGGCGGGAAAGCTGCCAAAAGTTTGAAGATAGCCTGGGCTACCTAATGAGTTCAGGACTAGTCTTTGTCTTCCCAAAACAAAAACAAAACAAAAAGTACTACCAATTAAATAACCAAATGTAACAATCCAGGTATTGCTGAGTGAAGCACTTTTCTGTCACTAGGGCCACTCCAGAAATAGCTGGTGTTGGCCAGACTGGTGAGGATAGGGAAGAAGAGAACCCAGAACAGGGCCTTGTTCCAGAGGCCCCAGGGTAAAGATGTTCCTATTTTCCAGGCAAAAAGGCAATAGTATAGGAGGGGTAGATTTGAATTAGTGGCTTCTCCCTGCCCTGCCTCTCACTCTCTTCTATCCCTTTTTGGGTTGCCATGGGAGAAAAGTAGATGTGCATGGCAGAGTGAGAGTGAGAGCAGTACGTTTCTCCTGCAGACCTGGGAGCTACAGGGGCTAAGACATGCAGGTGAGAAGTGTCCATTCTTGTGACTCCCTCCATGTGCTCTCTTCCTGACTGTATTCTGGAGACACTTGTTAGGGTATAGCGGGAGGGGTGTCACAGAGGTCTCCTAAGCCTGTAGTGGGGTTGCAAGCTCCACCAGTACTTCTCTTTAAGCTGTTTAGGATTAAATTGGCCCTCTGGGCCACAAGAGGGAGACAGGGCTTGGTCAGGAGGCCATGTGGAAGTGGCCACGAGTACAACCCTCCTAATATTCCTCAGCAACCTTCTCAACACTGTTTTTGGTACTGCTGTCACCACTCTATTGTCCCCCTTATCAAAACCCAGAAGTAACTCTCCTGCCATCTTCACCTTCTTTCTCCTCTTATTCACTCTGCAGTGATTTACTGGGCATGAACACACACCAGAGCGTACCTGTTCCAGTTTCTGAATACCACAGTGACCCAAAAGTCCTTGTCCTTGTGGAGCTTGTGTGTCTTGCATTACATAGTGTAGTTCTACAAAGAAAAAGGACATGGGTGAAAAAGGGACAGATTGATAGGGCTGAAGAGAGGCCTTGAAAGAGGAGATGTTTAAAGAGAGACGGGAAGGAATAAAGGGAGTCAGCCACCCTTTTTAGGCTAGGGGGCAGGGAAGGTCCCTGAGGAGATAATGTAACTGGGAAGGATGGGAAAGGCAAGGAAGTAATGGTGAGGTGATCCCATAGGGGCCCTGTCCTGTTAGGAACTCTCACTGCAAGTGAAATAGCAGTATGAAATGGCACATATGGGATGCTGAGAGGAGGATCAAAAGTTTGAAGCCAGTCTGGGAATCTTAGTGAGATCCTATTTCAATTTAAAATTTTCTTAAAAAAAAAAAAATAGGGCTGGTACCAACTAAGTGCCTGCCTAGGCAAGCACAGGAACTAGGGTTCGATTCCTGGTGGAGCCCAAGTGTGGTGGTGCACACCTGTAATCCCAGCGCTGGGCAGGCTGAAAACAGAAGGATTACTGTAAGTTGGAGCTGTGTAGTGAGACCCTGTACCAAAAAACCCAAACAAAATAATAATAATAATAATAATAATAATAATAATAATAATAATAATAATGTTGGTAAAATAGTAGTAGAATAATCCATGTGTGAGACTCTGAAATCAACCCCTGATACTGAAATAAAGAAACGAAATGATTACTTTGGTTGCTGTGTGGAGAATACACTAGGAGGCAGGGATAAGGATAGAAGTCAGGAAACCAGTTAGAATACTCCTCCCTGACCTGCTTTACAGCCCTTTTGCTGTGTCTCTCCTTCCATTCCCTCATCCCTGTCCCTAAAGGCTTAGAAAAGCCCTTAAGATTGGCCTTTCTGCTTCCAGCCCTGGCCTAGCAAAGTCCCATCTTTCCTCCCAGGTCACTCACACACTCTCAGGTCCCTTTTCACTCATACTGCTCTCCTCGTGCTCCTGTATACTTTCTCCTGCCTGCCCCATGCTGTGGCCTCTGTTCAGGCCTGGTTTGGTCTCCAAATCCCTGCATCCCCATAGTTTTGGTCAGCTTTCTTTTGTATGTCTGTGTGGCTTGCCTCTGCATCCCTGAGGCAATAGAGGGCAGGGCCCTTGATGTATTCTGCTCTAGATTAAGACCTCGATGTGAATAGTACCTTGATTACGGGTTTCCCAACCTTTACATCTTGTGGTGCACTTGTTATACTTGTGCTTGTACTCTGGGGCCAGTGTGCTAACTTGTGGCTGGGGAATTTCCAGGGTCTTATTCTGGATGCCAACAGGGAGATAGAAATCAGGGTAGTATCAGGACACAGCTATAAGTGAAAGGTTGGTTCCAGAGTTGGGTAGGGATGGGACTTAGGGTACTGGGGGAGGTTGTGCAAGATGAGCCCTAAACCTCTACCCTTGTATTTCAGACTTGAAGTTGCACCTGCAGAGCACAGACTATGGCAACTTCCTGGCCAATGAGGCCTCACCTCTGACAGTGTCAGTCATCGATGACAGGCTCAAGGAGAAGATGGTGGTGGAGTTCCGCCACATGAGGAACCATGCGTATGAGCCACTTGCCAGCTTCCTGGACTTTATTACGTGAGTAAGCCCTGCAGTGCTGGGCAAAGTATACATACAGGAGCTGGCCCCAGTGTGGCTTAGGCCAGCTGACTTATTGGCTCTGTCAGCCAGCTGTCATCAAACACTGCCTTCAGAGTTCTTGTAGGCTTTGTAAATGGACATGCCATTCAACAACTCTGGACCTCCAGGTCACAGCCTGTAAAGTAGAGTCACCAGCCCCTTTCCCCCAGTGTTAGAGAGATTGGACTAGAAAAAACAAGTCACTTACCCTGCAGTATCCACACTGAACACTCACCAGGCCTAATCTCCCATGCTGGTGTCAAGGTTCAGAGTGTGGACAGAGCTCTGGAGAGACTGGTTGTTAGGATGGGGTGTGCAGGCCTGCTGGCCCTGTCTGGGATGAGGTCCATTCTCCATCTGTTCTGACCACATCTGTAGTCTCAGAGAGATTGGGTGAGTGTATGGATTGGCAAGGGTTGGACACCTTGCTCTTTCCCGGTTCTGGCCCAATCTTCCAGAAGCTCAGGTGGGCAGGCACCCTGTGCATATAACTTGTATCTTGACCGGTTTCTCTATCATGAACCTTTAGGGGCTGAGGGTGGGGCCACTCTGCCTGCACTGAGTTTCTGGAGAAGCTGAGACAAAGAGAGGACTCCGGGACCTGCAAGTTGGGGGAGGGACTTGGACCAGGCATTCTCTGTGCACCCAGTGTGTCTGTTGGCACAGGGAGGTGGAGAGGCTCCCTCTGCAGGGGCAGCTCAGGAGCCATGAACCAGAACCTACTGATAAAGAAATAGCCCGAGGCCAGGTGGCTACTCCATGCAGGTGGTGAGCAGAGTGGAGGCATAATCGGTGGTCTCTACAGGTGTGCTCTGCATTGGTGGTGCATTACTGACATTGTGGGGAAGCATTTCCCTGCACCCTTCTGGGTGTTATCTAGCTGAGCAGGTGTACCATTTACTTGTTCCAGCATAAATAGGGTTAGATGCCTGTCTCCCAGCCTGATTTCTACCTCCAGCAAGTAGCCACTACTGGCACAAGATCTACTTGCTCAAATGAGGGCTTTAGCCAGAGTTCCATCCTCAGGTAAGCGCCACAGGCTAGGGCACCAAAAGGGCTCAGGAAAACTGTTCAAGTTGAGAAGCAGGCTCTCTTCTGGCCATAGGCCTCTTGCCAGAAGCTTTTTTGCTGTGTTTGCTGGGCCATATTCAGACTTCTTGGTCCTGGTGCCACATTGGCATATACCTACTGGGGCAAGAGGCCAAAGATATGGAGTACATCCATCTGTGCTGCTGCATTTGGAGATGGGGGTCATACTGCTGTATAACCCAACTGTTCGCCTAGGCTTGTGTGTCCTGTGCTCCAAGGACATACCAGGAAGTGCTCTATTTATTGCTAGCACTCAGTCTTACCTTCAGTTTATTTGCACGAGGCTCTTTCAGCTTCCTGGTGAATGTTCTGGTCTTGCCAGTTAGGCAGGCCAAGGGAAGGCTAATCCCATGCCAGTAGTCAGAGAGTAGAAGACATCCTTCTTGCTGCCCACTTGCCTACCTGTCTGTGCATCTACTCCTGGCCTGTCTTGGTATCAGCCTGCCAGGCCCCGAAATTAGAGAGGGCTCTGAGTAGGACTGAGACAGAGCAGCTGCCAACTCTTTGCTGGAGGTTGGCCGCAAGCACCAAGTGTATTTAAAGCAGCCAAGCACTGTCCTGTAGCAGGCAATCTGAATCCATCACTTTCCCCGCCCCTTCCATTCACGGGTGAATGTGGCTTACAGCCTTCTTGTCCATTTACTCCTGTCCTCATTTGGGGAGAACTCAGGGCCCACGTGTCAGCCTGTCTGAGCCTGTGGCTGCTTGTTCTCTGACCCCATCGTCTCCAGTGATCCGTTTCTTTGCTCCTCTGCTCTCCAGTTTAGCCATCTCCGCTGGCTGACGGCTGCCCAAAGCCATCTCACCACCTGGAACTGCTCCACCCCTGAAATTGCTGAGTCAGGCACCCCTCTCTACCAACAGCCTTAAGATCTCCAACCCACTCTTTGGTCTCTAGGGGGACATGGGTTCCGGACTCAGCAGGACACTGGCCTTACTCCCCTGCTGCCCTTGTCTTCGTTTCCCGCCCTCTGCAGCTGAGGTTCCCTGGTTCATCATTCTAGCTCTTTTCTGCCAACATCCGCAGCTCTCTTGGCCGCCTAACTTATGGTCCCACCCAGCTGGCAGCCCCCCAGCCCTGGAGGAGTCCCAGCAGCCTCCATCCTGGAGCTGCCCTACCCCCACCTCCACTGCTGGGAGCAAAGCCGGGGAAGCTGACTATAGGGTAGGGGGCTATCCCTGCTGCCACCATGCATATGTACCCAGTCAGCCTCAGCTTGTCTTTGACCAGTGGCGTCTTGCTGTCCCAACTCAGCATCCTGAAGTCCCCCCACCAATGATGAAAAGACCATCTCCCATCTTGAACATAGCTTCTCCTGCTCCAGCCTCCTCTCTGGGCAGATGGCCCGCTTCCTCCTCCACAAGGACAATAGAAGCTAATACACCTCTCAGCACTGCTTCTGTACTCTGTCCCTGAACATTATTCCAATGGAAGAAGTGCCCTTCTTACTCTGAGGTCATTTCACCAGTGTTTTGAGGCCCTTTACCTTCCCTACTTCCTGGACCCCGGATGGCCACTCCTCTGAACTCCTGTCTGAATAGCCATTTTCTCTTTTGCATCCCTCTGTTTAGTTCCTAACACCATTATGGACCATCTTGTGGATCTTAAACTTTCACATTCCCTATCTATTCTGCCACCTCCACATCATCCTTGAAGCCTCTAGTCAACTTCCAGAAGTCCGTTGCTCTACAAGAAGGCCCTGGCTTGGGTCTCACCTGACTTCATATCACCAAGGTCTGCAGGTGTGGCTACTGAGTAGTGTCTGGCCCCCCATCATCCTCCCCGCATGTTGTCTCTCTGATTTAAGTCCTCCCTCCATGGCTGTTCTTCTTATTCCACTCTGCCTCATCAGGTCATCCTAAATAAGAGAAGTATTGCAGCTAGGAACAAAAGCCTTCCTTTGCAATCTGTGCCAAAGGGCTACCCAAGACGGGATTCATGGCTGGTTTTCCTGAAGAGGCAGCTATTGGCTGAAGGAAAAAGTATTTTATGGAAAAAATTAGGAAAGAGGCATCCAAGTCAAGGAACCATACATGTCCTGAGAAGTGAGCATGGAGCTAGTGACACTGCACTCCTACAGCAAGCTGCCCTAGAAATACCCAGGGGACATACCCAAACAGGAGAGTGAAGGCCTCCAGGAAGTAGAAGCATCCATTCAAGACCTGTCCTGAGCTATGGCTGTCCACAGACAAAACTGGCTCAGCTGGAGATAGAGGTTGACTGGAGAGCTCACTTAGCTCCATCCCTCAGAGAGGCTTTGCCTTTGCAGCTGCCCTAGTATGGCTAGAACAGGCTTCTACAGGAGATACCAAGTTCCCTGTTCCTGAGGGTGTGCAAACAGAAGTTGGTCAAGGCCTCCTCTGCCCTTTTGCATGAGACAGTATCCAGTGCTTATGTAGACTGCAGCTAGCCTGCATCCAACACACAAAGCCAGTACCTGCCCTGGGCCAGACTCAGTGCCAGGCAGGAAATGCATGGATATAAGGTAATGGTGTAGACAGAGCCTGGAGAGGCCTGGGCAGCCTCAGCAAATGGGACTGGGGTCACAGGTGGCTTCTCAGCATTGGGAGGACTCCAGGATCAGATGGGGATGGAGAGGTCATTTGAGAGAGTGGGTGGTTATAGTGGAGGCAGCTGTCTGGTGTGGGGCAGAGTCTAAGTGAACTAGGTCCTCCTGAAGTAGACTGCCCATGTGGAGTCTTGAGATGAGCCAGCTCAGTTTCATGGTACTAACATGTTAAAATGTCATACCACGGGCTCATGCCAGGCCCAGCCATTAACTTTCTATGTGACTTGGGATAGAGCCTCTATTTAGGGTTTTTGGCCTTAGAAGAGACCTTGATCTGGATCATTTCATGATGTTTTACTCTAGGAGAGTTGACAGTAGTAGAAGCTAGGAGAGTTGTTTGTGGGAGAAGTAAGCCTGGTCTCTGGGGACTCCCAGGTAGGCCCTAAAGGTGCTTGTCTTTGTATGAGTGAGCCCCTACAGTACCTATTGACAGTCTGGGCATGGGAAATATGCATCAACTGAGGGAGCTGAGGTCCCATATTTCTCCACTGTCAAGAATTTCACTGCTATCAGTTGGAGTGGGCAGCTAGAGGAAGGATTTGTTCCAAGACAGTGGCTTTAAGTACCTAATAGGCCTGTGGTTACATCTGCCATTCTTCCCAGGACATGTCACTCCCAACTTGGGCATTGGTGGATCACAGAAAAACATCAGATTTCTGAGAGCTTCCCTTCCTGACCTCCAGCATTCACTAGCTACTTCAAACTTGGGTTTTGGGTGGATCACAGGGCTCTGCAGACTGGAGCCCTAGGCCTTCAGTAGTTTTGAGTCCTGGGCTAGACCTGACTCTTGCCTGAAGGAGAGCCAGTAGTGACACTGGTCTAGACTTCAGGAGGAGTACCCAGGGAGAGTACCCAGGATTTCAAGGTTAAGTCTCAAATTGGGAGAAGACCCAGTGAGTTTCTGAAGAGGAGCAACATTGTAACAAGAAGGTCAGAGCCTCACTCACTAGTGCTATCATGTGGTATTCATGATATTCTGATTACAGCGAGGAACAAGACTTAAGAGGTAGCGTGCTAATGCTGTGGTGGATATTTCTGTTCACTTTCTACCCTGGACAGGGCTCTTTAGGAACCTCATGTAATTGAGTAGAGATGCCAGCAGCTCATGCATAGATGGTACAGCCCCTAGTGGGGACTGTGAGTAGACAGTTGGTGGGGTTACACCAGTTACTACAGCCAATGCCAGATCTGCCCCAGGGCTGAGAAATCTTGCCACACCAGTAGGTGGCGTCAAAGGGCACAATGGAGAGGAAGGGTTCATAAGGGACTCTGAAGGCTTCTTAGAGAAAGTAGCTTCTTAAACTCCATCCTGAGCCTTTGGGGACCCACACCATTTGGGAGGCACTGGGTAAGGGAGAGCCAATGGGCAGAGGAATACAGATTCCCCCACCCCCACCCCACAGGGGCCTCTTTGGCGTGGTGGGCTGTCAGCCATCCACTCCCCAGCTGTCTTCCCCAGGAGGGAGACGCTGACCAGCTGGAACCTCATTCTCTCCTATTGAGGCCAAATGAGGGGAAGAATGGTGAAGTGGCTCTCTGGGGGCAGGGAGGCAGCTGCTAAAGTCAGGCAAGGAGGAGGAGGGTTTCCCTGTCTACTGAAAGCCTCGGTGTTGTAGGAAGGTATATGGCTGGGCCACATCATACAGACTTGTCCTGCCTTCCATCTCCCAGAAGAGAAGATTCTGACCTTCACCAAGCAGGGGCCTTTGCTGCAGAAACTGCAGTTGGCCCGGAGGGAGGGAAGTTCTGGCCTGGCACAGGATCATCCAAGTCAGGCCTGGCTTGGATAGAAGGGGGCCTTAGAAGGGGGTGCGTGGCATGATTGTGAGTGGCCCTTTACTTGGCCTAATATTTCCTTCTATACTCTACTAAGGCTTATAGCAAGTAATGCTTAGGGGAACCAAAAAGGGGAGGGTGTTCTACCCGCCTCCACATGTGCTGTTGGAGCTGAAAAGTGAATCATAGCTGGCCTGTTCCACATCACAAGAGGGACAGCAGTGAAGCCAGACAACAGCATCTTCCCAGAGGGCTCTTCCCTTGAGGCTGGCCAGGACTCTCAGGAGTGCCATAACACTTCCTTTGAGCCCTGACCCCAGCCTTGGCCTCTACCAAAACAGTTACTCTGAGTTGTAAAAACAAGGAAGGGGGAGATTTAGACAGAGGAGACCAGGTTGTAGAGATCCTGTGAGAAAACAAGGCTAATGGGGAATACAGAGCCAGGGCATGGAGCCTTGGACATGGGAAGAGATATGTGGACAGTAGTCATGGGAACAAAGCTCCTCTGCCTTCTGTTTTGACAGGACCTGGTTCTGGCCCCCTCTGGGCCTTTCTGCCTTCACAGTGAGGCTAGTTGTTATGGGATCACTCAGATAATGTGGGTGCAAGGGATGTGCCATTGTCTTTTTCTCTGTCTGAAGGATGTGAGAACATAAAAGAATTTCCTTAGGCTCAGGTGCAGGTCTTTGTGGCTGTCCAGGGGGTGTCATGGCTATAGTGGGACTAGATGGACGCAGGTAGTGTGTTGAAGGGGCGTGGGTGTACCCTGGGGTACATGAGATGGAGGAGGTGTCAAGGGCAGGAGGCTGTGTTGGCCATAGAAGGTGCAGACAGGACCTGGACACCAAGGCACAAAGCTCTGGTGGGCTCTCTGCAGTCTTTCTATCCTTGCAGCTCCAAGGAATAGGGGAAATGAGGCTGGCTATATGGGCCTCTTGGCTTGCAGCTGCAAATGGGCTCTGCCTGAGGGCCTGAGTCTGCGGCAGAGGATGTCTCTTCTCAGTGCACATCCCGTAGCTGACCCAGCCAGACGGAATGGAAAGAGGGCAGCTGTCTGGCCCTGGGCCCAGGAGAGCAGAGGTCATAGCAGGGCGCCAGGCTGGGTGGGAGCTGAGGGAATGAGCAGAAAGCAGGGTGAGTAGGGTTCAGGCCAGGACAGGAGCTGAAGCCTCCTCCTGCTGCCTTCCTGGAAGCCCCAGTGGGGGTACCCCAAATAGCCAGACCTGGGCTACCACCTCCTTCCCTCCCCTTGTTCCCTTGGTACTAGAGACTGCCTTCGATGAGGGCTTTCCCTCCCACTTTCTCTCAGCACTGGGTGCTCATGATTGTTTCACAGGGTAAGAGTCTAGCTCTCTCCCACCCCACCCAGAAACCTGGATGAGACCTGTGCTCAGGGCCCAACTCAGAGCAGCAGCCTCCACTTACCTCTCACCCTTCCACGACCCCAGCCTACTAGCCTTTGAGGACATTCCCCTGAGGCCTCATGCAGCTGTCTTGTGCCCTTAGTTCATCCCTGGTTACAGGCTGAAAGATAATTGTGGCTATGGTAGCCTATATTTGGGGCCTCTCTTTTGATTTCATCTGCTTCATCCCAGCCCATAAGTAACTGCACAGAACCCTCTGCCCCAGCCCCTTTGGGCCCATGCCTTTTGGTTAGAGTCAGACTTTTGCCCTGAAAAAGTCTGAACCCGGCAGCTCCACTCTCCCACACTCCGTGGCTCTCTTTGCTGCCCATTAACTCTCCAGAGCTGACCTCTTGGAGGACACAGTCTAGGGGAGCCCAACCTGTTGAATCTCTGAGGTTCATCCAGGACCCCCTGGTCTCAGCCTGTAGAGAAGAGAATGCTTTTCTCTTTTTGGAGTTGTGAAGGTCTGCCTGACCCAGGCCTTCATTGTAACCTCATGTCTCCACCAGCTCCTCCTTGGTATTTCTTGGAGAAGCTACTCCCCACTCTTTTCCCCCATCCTTTCCTCTTTCCTCCAAGGAGGCAGAGTCTACCTAACTCCCTGCTTACATGGTGCTAATAGATCTTTGCTTGAGATGAAGACCCTAGCCTGGACGAAGCCCAGCCCCCAGGTGCCCCCCTGCTAACAACAGTGCCCCGCCAGGGCTGTGCCTTTTCTCTCCCTCTGCTACTCCTGACCATGTTCAATTCCTCAAATGTGGCTTCACTGAGTGTATGCCTCCAGGCCTTTGCACATACTGTTCCAGCTTTCCAGAACACACTTTCATCTTCTTTTACCTCTCAGGCTCCTGACCATACCTGTCTCCTGGCATCCTGTTAGAACATCGTTCATACTGGGGGGAGGGAGGACATTCATTGCCTGTGTGCTGTACCTCAATGGGGCATGAATCTCTGCCATGGAGAGGCCATCTCTCTCTTGTGTTTCTGGTGCTGGGAGCAGAGGTGGACACTTAAATTTGGGGCAGTTTGGGCAGAGCTATTAGTGCCTATCTGCAGAACCTATGGGTGAGCATACAGGTGGGGTTGTGAACATGATGCTAAGCCAGGTCTTCTAAGCCCCTACTCCATTGAGCCATCCTGTTGTTGTCCTACCCCACAGTTATAGCTACATGATCGACAATGTGATCCTGCTTATCACGGGCACGCTGCACCAGCGCTCCATTGCTGAGCTTGTACCCAAGTGCCACCCACTAGGCAGCTTCGAACAGATGGAGGCCGTGAACATTGCACAGACACCTGCTGAGCTCTACAATGCCATTCTGGTGGACACGCCCCTGGGTGAGCTGCTATAGTGGAAGAGGAGCTAGACAGTATCTTAGGGTCAGCCCCTCAGTGTGGGGTTTGTGGACTGCCAGGGGTGGGGCAGCCGTGAGCCAGAAAATGAGAGCTGCTCACTGCTGTTGACCTTTGTCCTTCCCTCAGTTCCCTCTCTCATTCTCTCCTACTCACTCCTGCCCATTCCTATTGTTTTTGCTGGTCCAGAAGCCCCTGGGTCTGATTCAAACTTTGTAACTTTGGGGAGAGTCTGGTTTCTCAAGATGCAAAATAAGAAAGCTGAACTCATGGAGAGAGGAGAGTTGAGAAGGGCTTTGGTCTCTGGGAGTCCTGAGAGCTCTAACAGTGCCCCTGAGCATGTCCAGAATGGCTGCCATGAGGCAGAGGAGGGAAGCAAACAACTCCACTTGCCTCCACCAAGTAGGTGTCAGGGGCCAGGTCAGACAGTGTCCGGCAGGATGCGGGGTCCATGTTAGAGGCCAAGGAAGGGAGGAGAATCAGGAGCTTCCTGTAGGGCTCCACCCAGGCAGAGCTGGCTTCTGCCTGCCTGGGAGGCTGTAGAGGAGGTATGAGGTCTTTAACTAGCTTGTAAGCTCATAAGCAAAATTCTGAGCCCCAGGATACCACTCCAGGAAGCCACCAGAGTTGAACCCAGGGCTCTAAGCAGAGAAATCCAAGCTGTACCTGTTGACTTAGTCTTTGCCAGTGACTTGACTCCCTTTGCCAGTGACTGAGCCAGCTCTGGACAATTTGTGGCTTCTGTATTTGACAGACCACTGAGTCTGCAGGCCCTCCATGGGGAATGGTGGTGCTTTCTCATGCTCTAGTCTCTCCTTTTAGCCCCATAATGGCCCCTTGGGTCACTGGCTCATGCTCACCCTGATGCTATGCTCATATCTTGTCCTAAGGAGGAGAAGGGTAGTTTTCTAACTGTGGGTGTTAGGCCCCAGCTTCACAGCTGCCCCTGGAGAAAAAAGAATCTCATGGGCTCTTATGCAAGCCGTGTTTGGCATGGTCTGAACTTGGGTCGGCCCCAGTGGTGATTAGATCATGTTATGGCTGGCCGCCTCCTTTATAAATCAATTTTAGAGCAAGGAGTCAGGAAAAGCTCAGGTCAGTGTGCATGGCCCAGAGTATTACTCTGCTACATCCAAAGCACTATCTCAGGCTGGTTAGGGGTCCCCTAATTCCTAGCCTAGTGAACCTTGTGGCAGTGACCCTTTATACCCTGGAGGGTGGTTGAGTATCCACAGGGTTCTTGCCTAAGCCACTTGCACACCCCTCACACTCATATCTTTCCTCCCCAGCGGCTTTTTTCCAGGACTGCATCTCAGAACAGGACCTTGATGAGATGAACATTGAGATCATCCGCAACACACTGTACAAGGTAGAGCCCTGCATGAGAGTGGGGGATTGGCCTGTTGGTGGGAGGGATAGAGTGGGGTGGTGATTTATGTGAGGTGCTGCAACTGCTTTAGCAGGCTTCTGTCCCAGGGGTTTATCCACTTTCTCTGGCTCCTGTGATGGGTGCAAGGTTGCCTGGAACAGGTTCTTCATCCTGTGGTGCCTGCGGCAGGCTCAGATAAGATCAACAGGAGTGGCTGGCACTCTACCAGTTGGGCTGTCAGAGCTGGCTCCTAGATAGCCACTCCCCCAGCAGCCAGGAGGGTCACAAGCCACCACCCAGGCCATAGCCGTTGGGCCTACCAGACCTGGGCTGTTGCCAGCCAGGTAGGCATTCGAGTAGAGGCAGCAGTTTGTTAGTTATGGTAGGAGGGATCCAGTCAGGCATAGCCAGGTCTTTATGACCTTTACAGGTTCCCAAGTTCAGGGCAAAACCACATCCCACAGTCGTCCCTGTTCAACTTCTGCTTCATGCTGGGCTGTAACATAGACTGGCTGATCCCTGGGCACAGGGGCATGCTTGGGATTCCTGGGTTAGTGCTGCCATAGTTCAAAGAGATTAAGAGTCAGGGGCCAGTTCAGTGTTTGGGGATAGGCTGATTTTTGGCTGTGCTGAGGTACTAAGTTGTTGTGGGCTATATTCTGGAACAGGGTTCTGCAGTGGATAGGCCTTAAATAGGGACACTGGGCAAGGAAGCTGCTGGCCAAGGTACCTGTTGACCCAGCCAAGAGACCTGCTGACCTAACCCCAAGAACATGTCTCTTCAGTCTCCACAGCTAAGGGTACTCTCCTTCCTTGTTGGAGCTAGCTGGCTAACCTTCAGTTCAGCTTGAGCCTAGACCCTCTGAAGCCCTGGCCAGTGTGCAGTGAGAGTATGGTGGCAGGTGAAGGGCCTGCCTGAGGTTGTGATGGTTGGGCAGAGGAATAGCACATGCAGAAGAAAGGCATGGAACATGGGCCAGGAGGCAAGTGGTTTGCAGTGGAAGTACAAGTTCCATCGGGACAATAGTAGAGTGCTTTGGAGAAAGAGGTAGCCAGAGAGTCACATCATCCTGGGACTTGAATGGCAGCCCACAAGTTGGACTTTATCCTGTAGGCAGGATTAGGAACAAAAGTTTCCAGCAGAGTAGAGTATGCTCAGATAGCCCCCAATGGTTGCAGTATGGAGGGCAAAGGAGAGACAGGGAGGCTACCCACCACTTTCATTCTCCAGACTTCCCCGGCATCTTTAGGCACAGTTGTCTTCATTTGTAAAATGAAGGCTCAGAGAAGTGGGATGGTTGTCCAAAGCCACACAGCTCATGACCTTCCTGGATGCTAGGGGAGTGGCAGCACAAGGGAATCATACCTGGCTCATCTTGTTTGCAAAAGTGAGGACTCTCACCCACCGTGCTAACATGAGGGCAAGCCAACCTAGTAAGGAGAGGGAGAAATTGAAACAGACAGAAAATGTGTGGGGGCATGCACACTGTCTGTCTGTCTGTCTGTCTGTGTCTCTGTCTCTCTCTCTGTCTCTCTCTGTCTGTGTCTCTGTCTGTCTGTCTGTCTGTCTGTCTGTCTCTGTCTGTCTGTCTGTCTGTCTGTCTGTCTGTCTGTCTTTCTCCCCTGTCTCTGTGCTTCCACCTACCCAGCTGGCCTCTTGCCACATTCCTTGCCCTGAGACAGGGTAAGGGGTGCGGCTGTCCCCCCAGCCTCACCCACAGCCTCACTGGGCCTAACTGGTTTTAACTGGAGTCACTGGCAAGAGCTGCCCAGGCACCTGCTCATAAACACTGACCCAATACTGCAGGCCCTGTGCCAGGACTGCCTGCCTGGTAGGCAGTGTCCCAGCCCAGTGGCCTCAGATGGAAGATTAGGTGGACCCTGACAGGTAGGAACGGTGAGTTGCTGGTGCAGCAACCATGGGCTAGTAGACTCTAGGAAACAGGGTGGAGGTGGGGAAGTAACCTTGGTACCTGGGTCTTGCCAGTTTATTTAGCTGCAGTAGCCTCTAGATGGGCCTGTCCTGTCTGCCTTCCTAACTCTGGGGTTACCTTTCTAGGAACCACATGGGTAGATAGAGTATAGGGTATGGAGTCCCAAGACTTGACTGGTAACTGTCACCCTGCCCCATAGGTAGGGACTTCAGGCCCCAAAGAGTATCTCTTGGGATTTTAATACTGCAAGCTTTTGTAGCCTCAAGGGATTGAGGGGACTGAGAAGAGAAGTCTCTCAGAAGAGACCCTGAAGGGACTGAGAAGCACCTCTAAGTTGTGGCAGTGGGGATGGCATCTGTCTCTGATCCCAGGACCTCTAATTGCTGGTATTCCTTTATGTTAGGCCCTGCTCTCTCCTCTAGGCCGCTTATTCCTGACCTTTTCCAGTCTTTTGTTACCTGTAGTCACTCTCAAACTCTACTGTGAGGCTCAGCTTGTTTAATGTTGCTAGCTGGCCTAGGCCTGGGCTCTTAGAATCCTGGGTCTTGTCTCATCTTGTGGAACAGCAGAACCTGTGTGTCTTAAGTCATTCTGGACAGCAAAATTCAGTGTGGAAAACTTTTTATACTGCTCAGGCCCTTCTTCCAACTCAGAAAAATAGACTCTGTCTATAGAGGCAGAGTTTCTGGAACCAGACCACATGATAGTTCCTGGGAGTCTGAGTGAGGCCTGAAGGACCATGATGGACAGGTGTGGGGAAAGAAGCCTTGTTGGCTTTGTGAGTGAGAAGAAGGACCTGAAGTCTGGACTGACCTGTCCTGTCCTTATGCCCAGCAGATTCAATTTACCTGGGCAGGAAGTACATGTTTTCACTAGTAGCCTGTGTACCCAGCCATTGCTCTGTTAGACTGACGTCTGTGTAGGCAATAACCATCCTTCATCACAAAGCAGCCTGACAATTTGGTTCCTGCTCTGTGATGCCTAGGGGCAGCCTGTGGGATGGGGGGAGGAGGAGGTGTTTTCCAAGTTGGATGCAGCGATAGCCATTGGACACTCATTCCGGGTCATCTCTGTGAATTCTCTGGAGTAATCTTCCCTTATTAGCCCATAAACATCAGCTGTTCTGAGGCTATGGAAGAGGTTTAGGGAGACTTAGGGGAGAAGAAGACAGAAGTCCCTCTGAGCAAGACCTCTGTGAGAAGAAGTGATTGGGAACATGCACCCTGAAACAGGCCACCAGCTGTTCTGTCACTCCCAGTTGGGAGGCAACAGGCTACTGCTGTTTGGCTAATTAGCTGTTGGTGATGTTTCAGGTGCTTTACCATAGAATTGCCTTGGCCAGTCCCTACCATGAAAGGGGTTGGGGGTGAGGAGGAAGCTGTGAATAGCAGGCTAGCAAGTCTTTCAGAGTCTCTCTGCTCACACTAAGCAAGCTCCATGGTCTGCACAGGCTTACCTGGAGTCCTTCTACAAGTTCTGCACCTTGCTGGGTGGAACCACGGCTGATGCCATGTGCCCCATCCTGGAGGTGAGTACCTGTCCATCCATTCTTGCCTTCTGGTCCCTACTAGCCCTGGCCTAGTGGAAGCTCTGCCAACTGGGTCAGCTTTCCTTTTCTTCCCTCTCTCCTTGTCTGTGTACTGCCCTGCAGTTTGAAGCAGACCGCCGCGCCTTCATCATCACCATCAACTCTTTCGGCACAGAGCTGTCTAAGGAGGACCGTGCCAAGCTCTTCCCACACTGTGGACGCCTCTACCCTGAAGGCCTGGCTCAGCTGGCTCGGGCTGATGACTATGAGCAGGTCAAGAATGTGGCCGATTACTACCCGGTAAGTTCCCTGGCAGGCAGAGTGGTGGGTGACCATAGTGGATCATGTACTCCCTGCCCCTAAGCACCTGGCAGCCTGTTTGTACTCATGTTTCTGTTCCCGGCCAGGAATACAAGCTGCTTTTTGAGGGTGCAGGCAGCAATCCTGGAGACAAGACCCTGGAAGATCGATTCTTTGAGCATGAGGTGAGCACAGGGCCTGCCCAGCTTAGGGAAGAGTTGGTGGCTAAAGCCTGATTCTGGACTCACCCACCTGTACACCACACCTGCCTTGTCCACAGGTGAAACTGAACAAGTTGGCCTTCCTGAACCAGTTCCACTTTGGAGTCTTCTATGCCTTTGTGAAGCTCAAGGAGCAGGAGTGTCGAAATATTGTGTGGATTGCTGAGTGCATTGCTCAGCGCCACCGCGCGAAGATTGACAACTATATCCCCATCTTCTAGCGTTCTGACTCAAGGCTTCCAAGTGTCCTGTGTATGTTTGTGTGTGCTGTGATAAAGCCCATGGCTCACCTGCCTGTCCTGGGGGTGGGTAGCACGTTGTCCTAGGGGCTGTGCAGCTTCCCTGACACCTCCCCATCCTACCCCGACTCTTAGATCTGAAAAGAGCTGGGTACTTCTCTCCTGACCAAGAATGGACCAAGATCCCCTCAGAGCAGTGATGCCCCATCAGCCCTTTGTTTACAGCCACTGACATGTCTGAGAAACATGTGGTCACTTTCATGGCCTCCCCAAACCTGAGTACCCTAGGGGCAGTAAGAGCCTCCTTTTTCAGAGCTGTGGCCCATGGGAAGGGTAGAGTATGTGTATCCTTGGGGCATGGGGAAAGTAGTTCTCCCTCAGCTCTGGACCTGAGACAATAAAACTGCCCTCTCTAAACCCACTGTCTGTTGCTTCCTTGGGGTCCTAGTAACGCTCCCAGGTCTCCAACTTCCCTCATGACCACACTCTTGCTGAGTTCACCCCTGTGAATTCAGCAGCCCAGACTCTTCAGAGTGATGGGGATTACACAGAGGATAGTCCCTTCCTCTGCTAAAGCTCAAATGCAGAGTCAGGCCTACAGAGCTAGGTTCTGGGGGCCTCTAAGGCTTGTCTCACTGAGCCCTACAACTCTCTCTGATCATAAGATCAGAGAGAGTATCATGTCCTCATTCCATTATAAGGAAATCCAGACATAGGTATAAGTGATTTGCCTGGGGTAAATGGAGGAGGGAGTATGTGAGCCAGAGTCTGCCAGAGGAGCCCAGTCAGGCCTGTGCCCAGAACCCTGGGCACATCATGATGTTGAACCCCATGTATTCTCCATCTCTGCCATACAGCCACTCTCATCACCCAGGTAACCAGCCAGTCACCCCCTCCAAACATTGTACCTCCTCCATTCTAGGAGAAATAAAAATTTATCTTTATTTTAAAAAGTAGCAATCAGGCAAGTGGGGTATGCAGCTTCCCTGTGGGTTGGAAGTGGGAGGTTGGGGACCTAAGTCTTGAGCCAGTCAAGAGACAGTGGGGATTTACCCTGGAATTGTAGCACTGAGGAAGTGGTGCTGAGAAACAATCCTGAGGGGGTCCCCAACCCACCCTAAGTTTGCAGAGACACTGTCTACAGGGTCCTGACAAAGACTGCAGTTAAGTCATGCACAAAACTCCCATCCAGATGGATTCTGGAGTGTTGTGCCCAAGAGGGTCTGTGTGGGCTCATGAAGCAGTAGAAACCCAGAGGCTCCCTGGAAATCCTCAGCCTCTTGGGCCTAGACTGGGCATTGGAAGTAGGAGGCCACAGTTACTTAGGTGAGGCTCTGGGGTAGACTTGGGGAGCTCAGAAAGGCCAGGGGAGAGCTGAAGGCTCATGGAGTTCCTGTGCTGGAGCAGCTGGGTCATGTATGTATATGGCTCACCAAGCCACCACTGGGAAAGGGCCTGGGTTTAGGTTTGGGTCCCTTCAGTTGCATCCTGGGAAAAAGTAAGGCCAGGCTGGCCAGGCCTTAGTGCTTGGGGCAGACAGGGACTAATGAAGAAGGTCTGTAGGAAGCGGCGCCGCAGGCTCTCTGGCAGGTAGTAGTGGATGAAATACATGAGCCCCACACCACGGCCTGGGTAATAACGGCGGCGTGGCTGAGCTGCCAGCAGCGCGTCAGTGATGGCCTCTGTAACTGGGCTGAGGTCAGGCAGTGCCTTGCGGAGTGAATTCAGGAACTGCTTGTGGAAGTGCTCAATGTAATCTTCGCCATAGGCCTGCAGCAGCTCTTGGGGCAGGTTGGCCAGTAGCAGTTGTTTGCGTTGTTCCCAAATGTTCACATTTGTCACTGACTCTGGTAAAGGCATGGCAAGGTTAGAGGTCAATGAGGTAGGGGAGCCAGAGATCACTGGTCTATTTAACCTGGCCACATCTGCAGCCAAAGTTGTGCCTGTTCTTCAGACTTATCCCTGTCTTCCTAAGATTGTGCCCACCACCTCATTTTCCAGCTCCAGGCCGCATGCATGATCCACCCCTAACCCTCACCTGTCTTGAAGCAACCAGGCTGGATGACGCTGACCTTGATCCCCCAGGGCAGAAGTTCAGAGCCAAATAAGTCCATAAGTAGCACTATGGCTGCTTTGGAGGTTCCATAGGCTGCTAAGCATGGATATGGCATGTCTCCTGGGGATGAAATGGTGGATGAGGTAGCTCAGCCATGGCTAGGAGCTCCCCAAACACTCCTCTACCCCACAGCAGCTCCTGTCATACTGTACCCTTGATAGGGATGGCACTCACCTGCTGGACTGCCCAGTGTCACAATGCGACCCCTTGAGCGGCGCAGGAGTGGCAAAAGGCCTTTGGTCAGCTCGAGTGTACCAAAGAAGTTCACTTCCATGCAGTTGCGGAATTTGACCACTGGAGACAGCTCCACGTCAGCCACTATATCATTTAAGGCTGCATTGTTGACTAGGCCCCACAGCCCTGAAGGTAGGGAAGCAAGAAGTGAAACTTCAGGTCAGCCTAGAGGAAAATCCTGAAAACCCTACCCTTTCACACCTGGCTGGCCATGTCCTCCCCCAGGTAAGCCATGCCTGACCAGTGCTGGTGGTGTGGGCCTTGGTGAACTCCAGCACTCGGCTAATGTCCTCTGGTTTCATCAGGTTCATCTGCAGCAGCTTTAGGCGAGGGGAACAGCAGGCACGCAGCTCTAGGGCACCAGGGCTATTGAGGTCCAACACGGTGGCCAGCACCATGAAGCCCATAGCATCCAGTTTCTTGACCGTCTCCTTGCCAAAACCAGTGTCACAGCCTGATCAGGGCAGAGCAGTCAGTGAACTCCCACAGTGGTCTGGCACAGCCCGAGACAACCCAAAGATCACCAGGGTGAAAATGACATCCAGGCCCCTGGACTCTCAATCCAGCAGAAGTCATAAGCATGCCCTCTGCGTCTACCCATCTGGCAGACTTTGCCCTCCTAGCTAAACCTTGAGCACAAATTTTAACGGCTGTCATCTCTTTGGACTTCCCATCGCTACCCCATCAAAGATGGTTTATAATCCTCAAAGAAGAAATTGAGACCTAGTAATACTAACTTGATTCCCAAAATTACCCATCCAGCACAGAGGTCAAGACTATCCCAGGTAGGCCAGAAACTCAGCTCCTCTCCTGACGTCTTCCCTTCATGATTTAGACCAGAACGCATATGCAGTGTTATCCTTCCTTTCTGAGTACCCTTGTGCTTCCTTCTTTTACCTGGACATTGAAGCAGCCTCCTTGGTAGTCCTGTTCACCCCGCTCCCACCATATATAGCCTCTACCTAAGAAGCCAAAGGATCTTTTTAAAAATGACAGGCCAGGGATATAGCTCGCATGAGGTCAAGAGATCTGGTACAAAAAAGAGAGACAGAGACAGAGACAGAGACAGAGACAGAGAGAGAGAGAGAGAGAGAGAGAGAGAGAGAGAGAGAGAGAAGGAAAGAAAGAAAAAGAGAAAGACAGATAGACAATATCATTGTGCTGCTGAAAACTTTCCAAGAAGGCTCAATCCTCAGGACAAAGCCCAAGCTTTCTGGTACCTGTCCAACCTGAGATTCCCCCTCCTTTGCCAGCTTCAACATCTACTATTATTGCAGGCCCCAGGCAAGCAGAAGGTCCATTCCTGTCTTACTCTGGGACACCCTATCCTTGTAATTGCAATCACTGACAACAATGGGATATTTTCTGAGCTGCGGGCCACTTGCCCACAGGATGGTGGCCTGGTAAGAGAAGATGAGAATAGACCTGCATTTGAATGCCTTCCCACATATACCTTGTACATGCCAGAGCTCTGTTACAATTCTTGGAGCCTTTGATATGCAGAGAGAACCACCAGGTTGGGTTGGTGCAAAGGTCTATGTACCTGATTAAGCCCAGCTTTCTCAAGGTTTTTGTTCTGATCCTGACTCTGTGGGTAGTTAGTAAGGGGAGGGGGAGGGCCAGTGAGGGAGGAGGCTCTCTGGAGTACCAGCCACCAGCCCCGAATGCCTGCTGTGCAGAAAAGACCCGGAGCAACTCTGTTGCCCCCTCCTACACTCAGCACCCTCTCCTCATTTCAGCCCCATGCCCTCTGCTGAGGCTCAGAACGAGGCTGGGCAAGCGGCTTGGAACTGGCCTTGTATGGCTGGGGATTGCCAACCTGTGCTAAGAGGTCTTTCTCAGGCAAGTCTGCTGGGGAAGGTGAGTGTGTGTGCCTCAGTTCCCTCCCAGAGCAGACAGAGGCTCTACAGGGAAACTAAGGCCTCCCAGAGCCTCAGCTCTGGAGTCCCAACAGTCGCCAACACTTTACACACCTTCTTGCTCACCCTCACATCCATATACATCCGTCCAGCCTGCCTGGATGTTTCCACATGGGCTTAACTCCTGCTACCCATCAGTGCAAGGTGTGCAAGTACATGCACACAGGGATCCAGCCACAGTCCCAACCCCACCCCCATGGCTGAGTTCTTGATTTTTAACGTATTTCGTACAGGGTCTCACTATGCAGCTTGGACTCATACTAATCATCCTGTTTTCAGCCTCCCCAGCACTGGGATTACAGGCATGTTCCACCTTGACTGGTCTTGGTGGCTAGCTCAGTGCACCTGAGGCAGGGCCAGCTGGGCACGTCATGCTAGGGTATCAAACCTCAGGGTCCCTGCACTTGCCTAAGCAGGTGCTTAGTCCGCTGAGCTGTGTTTCTGGCTCATGGCCAAGTTCTTGAAGCGGGCTTGGCAAGCAATTCTCAGAGGCATTCTCAGGGAGGGTGTGTGGCAAAGGACAGGCACAAGACAGTGCTCTTGGCAGGTGTGATGATGAGGAAACCCCAGGATTTTCAGGCATTGGAAAGCTACAAATCTACTGGTGATGCTTACACAGGGGTGGGCTGGACAGTCCTCTTCCTACCCCCACACCCTGTGCGTTGCAACCAGAGATGAAGTCCTTCAGATAGCCTAGGTCCTGTTAAGGTAGCTCAAGAATTAGGTGGTAGAAGTGGATCTGCCCTGTCCTGAGGGAGAAAGATCCCATAACCTAGTCCTTGCTTCATACTGGGAGGATCTGGCTTTCCTTCCTCAAATTCCTGAAACTAAGGTCCCCTGAGGCTTCACACTGCATCCTGAAGCGGATCTATCCCATTAACCTGAGTCCCGTTTCATCTCCTTTCTCTCTGCTGAAGCCTGAAGTCCTGGTGCTAGCCTCGCACGCCATCCCCCCACATCAGCACCACCTGGCTTTTTAATTACCATTCAAAGGCCTTTCCGAGGAAACTTCACTTCCCACCACACTGTTGAACTAAATTGCTTGACTGTCCCCTACCCAGGCAGAACTGCTTCTTACCTTAAGCCTTTGTCCTATACCCTTTCTTTGATCCACCTGTCTCCACACATCCTTCAGCTCAAGGATTTCCCCTT